GAACTAAAATATATTAGCTGTCATTTTTTTGCTGACAATTTTCGTAAAAAATCTATATGGGTTTAAAATACTTTTCTCGTTAATAAAAACTTAATTTCTTCGTTTCTGTGAAATTTATCATACCAACGCTGCAAATAAAAATTATTTCTCAGGTTTTGCATCCAAGAAAATATTTATTCAAATACAAAAATAATCGTGTATGTTGCTCTTTTTTATTTCAATTTTTTGTATTTTACGAATATAATTTAGCATGTGTGTATCAGAAATTTTCTCGAAGAAATTCTCCGATTTAACTTTTTGAAATCACTCATTTTGGACGAAAATATTTACACACACATTTGTAAATTTAATATGTAAATATCTATTCTCTGGTGGTTGCAGCAGACAAACCTCAATTTTGTCATTGAACACTTTGTGTGCTACTATGTAAGTTTCAATACCAACCTTTTTAAAGTCTTATATCTTAACAATTAGATATCTGTTGCACATTAATTGTTTAATACATGGGTGCAGTTTAATACAGTTATTGTAGCCCGAATTTTTTAATATGCAATTAAATCTTTTTAAAAATCTACTTCTTATTTTAATTTGTAATTCAATACTTTTGTTTTGTACAACTTGGCAAAAATCTGACAGTAATATTTATGTTCCTACAAACATAAAAGAGTCCTACATAAAATTTTGTTAAAATTGCGGCCCGCCATTTGATTCGTGTTTTTAATTGTGGCCCCTGGCTTCATGTAAGTTGGAAACCCCTGTTCTAGATAATACATATTTTTTTAACTTATTTATTGCATTTTTTTACTTAACCCTTTAATGGGCATTTATTTCTAGTAAAGGTAAATTAAAGTATTTTTGGAATTGAAATTGTTTTAAGAATAGTAATTGATATAAGAAAAAAAAACTCATTTAGTTTATAAAAATGCTATTTTTTTGGTGGTAAATATATTTAACACGACCTATTAGGAATTTATTGAATTTTATTTTTCCTTATTTATAAAATAAATTTTATAAATGCTACAAACTTCAAAAGGAATTATAACTTTTATACGTTTTTTTTAAACTAGCAAATGGTTACCAATTTTATTTAAACGCACTTCAAGAAAGCTGAAGTTTGGAAACCTAAATTTAAAGTGGGGAAAAAAGTGATGGTAAGTATACTTCCCACGGCCTTCGAAAGGATTAAAGAAATTAATATTTTACAATAATATTTACAGAAATTATCGTGAAAACATTTTATGATTAAAAAACATATGGTATTTTTATTTTTTATTGCTTTCTTAATTTTTTTAAGAATATTCATGGTTGTAACGTATTTGGGACTTAAATATGCTATACGTGGTTATACATATTTTTAATACATTTTTAAATATTTTCATTTGAAGAATCGGACCGCAAACTAAATTTACATGCATTAACATCGATTTCAACTACGTGTAATGATGCATGAAAAATATTCACGAATCAAAAAAGTTCACGAATTTAACATCACAAAATTAAACCTGCATTTAATTTTAAAAGAAGAAAAAAAAATTTAACTGCACGTGACTTCAATTTCTCAAATATATATTTTTATGTGTTTTAATAATAGTTTAAAATGTAAAAACATCTAGACAAGCAGAACTTAAGAAGCTGTACGTAGGCGTTTATTTGCCTATACCTGCCTATATTTCATAATTGATGAAATTAACGCTAGGTTGCCTAAAGGAAGTCATTTTCACTGCTTTTTCATTTGCAAAAAATGTACAAATAATAATGCATAAATTAATATTTTCTTTCCAAGTGAATTAAATTTTTTTATTGTTAATATTTACTAATAACTTGTTATATAACTGTAAATAATATAAAAAGTATTAAAAATTAATGAAACAAATTTCTTCACACATTAGTTATTGTTTCACAATGCAGTCATATTGACTGCTTTTGGGCAATATAGGTATACACTAAGTTTCAGTCTTTCTAGTGTTAAAGTTGTTTTTTGAAATTCTAAAAAAGGGGGTAAAAGATTTCCTGAAAATCAATTCAAAACTTTAATTTTATATTCTTTGTAAACTATCTTAATGAACTATTCATAAAAACGGATAAATAAACCATTTAAACATTAAAAAAGAATTATTTTATTTCATGATTTTGATAGTCATAATTCAATTCCTACTATTAGTTCACACTCTGCCTATTATCTTGTTCAAATTTACAATCGTTAATTAAATACTTTTTTATTCATCTCCACTCAAGTTCAAATACAATTTTTTTAAACTTGTAGTGGATGACACTTGATGTTAATACAGTTTTTTCAAATATTAATTCATTCATTAAGAAAGGAATGAGCGAAAAATGAAATGGAATTTTCTGATGGGTTAAGCGTTAGTCATCTATATCAGTGGTTCTTAACCTTTTTAAGCCGCGACCCAAATTTAAGACATATGTTCATGTCGCGACCCAAAAAAAAGTCACAATTAGGCTGAGTAAGCCACAATGATTTCTTCTAGGAGGTGTTGGTATTACTTATTATTTGGTGTATTACTAACTTTTTTGGTTCGACTCAGCGCGACCCAAGAAATATGCTTCGCGACCCAATTTTGGGTCGCGACCCATAGGTTCAGAGCCGCTGATCTATATTATATAAAACGCTAATACGTATGTATCAATATAAAACCGATGATATTTCTTTTCTCGCGTTAGCAACAGTTTTCATTTTTAATTGATAGGATTCGGCGCGCAAGAGCACATAGTGAGCATCATATGGCTAATCTATATTATATAAAACGCTAATACGTTTTAATTGATAGGCTTCGGCGCGCAAGAACACGTAGTGAGCATATCATGTGTCTAATCGGGTGAAATCTCACTGAATTATCAAAAAAATTCTCACAAAATTATCTTCATCGAAGCCGATGCTTTACATCCGGCGTTCAGTACTATTTCATATTGTTTTACAACACATGGTTTTAGCCCTCTGGTGGGAAAGACTTTAAAACAAAACTTACAACAGTTACTTTTCTCAACAACTGAAATTTAGAATAGTGTGATTAAGAAAAATATGTGAACTGTTTGCAATTTCAAATTAATATTGAAATGCACAGGTTTAGAATTTTCTACAGTGAAAAGTTTTCGGAACTTCAGTGTTCAAAAAAGTATACAAAAGCTAGCTGTTAAGAACGTATCCAATGAGCGAGCAAAGCGAGCACCGGATTGCGAAACAATCCGAAATGAACTGCGAAAGCAGTTCCGGGGTTTGGCGAGCACGAGCGCGCAGGGGGCGAAGCCTCCTAGTTGCTTTAAATTTTAGTATAAGCAATTCAGTTTTTCACATATTTTAACGATAACATCAGTTATAATTTGTAACTTATAGTTCTATTTGAACAAAAAAAAAATAGTTTATTGCGCTCATTTAAGTATTTAATTATTTTATATTCGCTGTGTCAGATAAATTCAATAAAGAACATGACGTGGTTAGCACGTGTGGTCCACGTCACCATATTTATACTTTTATCGTTGTCTGATACCACGCACCTTTTTTTTAAAAAAGATTCCTATTATTAGAGTTCACGCTCTCCCTATATATCTTGTTCAAATTTTCAATCATTAATAAAATACTTTTTATTCACCCACTCAAGTGTTCAAATACATTTTTTTTAAAACTTGTAGTGTATGACACTTGATGTCAATACACTTTTTTCAAATATTAATTCATTAATAAAATTTTATTAATTAAATTTGAATTATTAATTTTATTTTTATATGAGAGAAAAAATTTTAATTATTTAATAAAAAGTAACTAAAATAAAAATTTTCTATGTTGTCCTAAGTAGGAATTGAAAATTCTTACTTAGGTCAACAACTTAGGTCAATTCCTTTAAAAAAGTTTTTCTATGTTACTTGTATTATTAATTTTGATCTAATTATAGTGTCAAAAACATCACCCGAATTCATTCACACTTTTGCCAATATTTCTAAATTTATTCAAACCCATAAATATCTCGATTCTTTTAAACATGGATTTATCTCCCTTTCTAAAATAACAACCCAAATGTGTTCAGTTTTTGAAAAGGATATTTAAATTTTTAAAAAATGGTCATTTTAGCCACATTTTTCTTCTTCTTTATTTAGAGAAAAAAAGAAGAAATAAATTAGGAATTATTATTTATTATTATTTATGTTAGTCCTTATTATGATATTCCTAAAGTTTTAACGATTGTAAAGAATGCAGTGCATTCACGGCGGTCAGTGTGCGGGTGGGTGACCACTTGGATCAGTCTGCGCAGGGACCGAGGGTGTGCGGTATTGGTCCTCGTTAAACTGTGCTACCGTAAAGTGCTCGACTTCGCGCGCAGGTCGTCGGGCTACCGAAGCGGGGGTGTCATCCCCTCCGCAGAGGATCAAAATTGTGATGGCATGTCTTCGGATCATCCTCCGGGATGTTTCCCAGACCGTCGCCAATAGCCCATTGTGCAGCTCTAGTGCGACGTAAATTAAGAACAACAACAACAGTGCATTCACGAGGATTCTTTTCATACATTCAACTTTCATTTAGTTATTTAAAAAATGCATTTTATTCATAAGGAAGTTTTTCTCCATTTTCTTGATTAGCATATAATGCACGGACAAAATTAAACCTAACAGTAGCTAATTCACTACAAAGTTGTTATTCGCTAACATGCGATATTTCATTTGCAAAATAAAGTCAGTGGTCTCCAACACTTGATCCATCGAACCAGTACCGGGCCGTCCAAGGAACATGAAACTATTTTCATTTATTTATTCTATATTTTATTTTATAACCGTCAATGAACAGCCGGAATTCGGGTTTCGACTACTAATGTTCAACTTCGTAGCCTTGTACTTTTGAACCCAATCCAGAACATCCTGGATCTAGAATTGGGAGAAATTTGCCTTCATGGAGGACTTTTTAATGGAACTAACCCGCATTTGCGTTGCATGGAGAAGAAGAAAACGAAAACTTTCCTTAGTTAGCCTGACGGCTAGAGGACTTGTGATCCGACAACCACTGAGGATATTTTTACGTCAGCACTGTTTTCTCTGCGAGCCAGGTGCAGAATTCGTATCGACCAGCCATTGCTGGAACTCGAACCCGGTTCGCATCATTGAAAGGCGAATGCTCTATCACCTGCGCCGCCACGACTCTCATTTATTTATTGTGATATATTTTTGTGTGAATTGCTATGGACTGTCCTCTGAGGTTAACTGTTACCTAAAACCGCAACCAGTACAGAGCATGAAACAGTATTTTGATTTAAAGAAATGCTTAAATACAATTGAATTAGAAATATTAAATCAAAACCATCTAAAATATGAACAATCAACGTCAGCCTCTTCCCCTCAGCGGAGCAGCTGAAAAATTATCATAGTGCATAGGTAAAAGTGCATAGAAAGATGATTTTTCCGAATATTTTTTCATTTAAAAAACTTGCGAAAATCACTCCTAGATAGCCGTGATGGCTCAGGGGATAGAGCGTTCGCTATCCAATGAGGAGAACCGAGCTCGAATCTCGGCAATGGCTGGTCGACACGAATTCCGCATCCAGCTTGCACCGACCACAGTGTTGACGTAAAATATCCTCAATGGCACACAGATCATGGGTTAGAGTCCCCTTGCCGTCATTCTAATCGTGGGAGGTTTTCGTGACTTTTCTCTCCATTTGACGCCAATGCTGCTTAGTTCCATCATAAAGTCCTCCACGAAGGCAAATGACTCCCTATACTTGATCTAGGAGTTCCCTTGTCTTCTGGATAGGGTATATAGAGTGTTTATAGAGAAAATATTGAGAAAACATGGAAAATAATAAAGATTGATGAAAAACGCAGAGAAAAATAAAATATTTTAAAAAAATATTTAAAAAAAAATATTTTTAAAAAAATATTAAAAAGCTGGAGAACAAAATAAAGAAAAAATATAATCTCTTCATCAGCTTGCACTACTATATCTACAAAAAGGAGTGATTGATCAATATAGCCAAAGCAAAATACACTGAAGAGCCAAAAAAAACTGGTATACCTGCATTATATCGTGTAGGGCCCCCGCGAGCACGCAGAAGTGCCGCAACACGACGTGGCATGGATTCGATCAATGTGTGAAGTAGTGGTGGAGATAATTGACACCATGAATCTTGCAGGGCTGTCCATAAACCAGTGGGAGTATGAGGGGGTGGGGATATCTTCTGAACATCACGTTGCAAGGCATCCCAAATATGTTCAATAATGTTCATGTCTGGAGATTTTGGTGGATTTCCGATTCTCACGGTATACTCGTGAAATGGTAGTACGTGAAAATCCAAATTTCATTGCTATCTCGGAGATGCTATGTCCCATCTCCCTTGCGCCGACTATACCACGTTCAAACTCACTTAAATCTATATAATCTGGCACTGTAGCAGCAGTAACCGATCTAAGAACTGTTCTAGACACTCGTTGTCTTATATACGCGTTGCCGATCGCAGGGCTGTACTTGGATTGGCTCCATACCCCTTTATTTGCATACTCATGCCTGTACCAGTTTTTCTGGCTCTTCAGTACAATAGTGTATATATTAATAAAACATATACATAACGTAACAAAACATGTATAACAAAGTATATTAATACAAAATATATTAATACACTATTATGAAAAAAATTATACTCTTAATATTATTTTTTTTTAAATATTTAATGAAGATTTATTTATTTTTAATTTTCAAGATCATACAATTTTTTTGAATAATATTTACCCAGAAGAATTGATCTTACTTAGTAATCATGATGATAACATTAATTTTTCGGATTTGGGTACTAAAAAAGAAGAAAATTTCTGCTTTGTTGATTCATGCGATAAAAGAAATTAATTTAATTTCTGTATATATAAAGTAATTACTTGGAATTCTAATGTTTCGAAAAACATTTATTTAAATACTATTTTTAATCAAACAAATAAAATTAAAAGAATAATAATAACAGACAAACTCTTTCAAAATTTTATTAAAAAAAAAAATTTAAAAAATGGATACCCAACTAATAAAATTAAGATTTGTATAAAATCATTGAGTTAATTGTATGTTAATATTATTTAATTTACTAAAAACTTCTTTGTTAGTCTATATTTTTACCATGTCCAATTCGGGCAAATCCATGGCTAAAAATCTGTGCAAAAGAGGCAAATCATGTTTCACTCTTTCTTTTTCTTTTTTTTAAATAAATGTTAGTTTTCCAAAATCATTAAAATTGTATAACTAAATATCAACCTTACTAATTATGATTAATAATTATAATACTGACGATTGGTGGGGAAGAGGCTAATTTAGGTTTTAGTTATATATTTTAAGTTCTTGTTTTATATCTGTAATGACGTGAAGTATTTAAATGCCTTCAGTAGTTCGGTTCTTCATAACTGACGTAGTGAAGCGGAGGGGGCCCCAAGAGAAATTTTTGCCCCGGGCCCCAATTAGGCTAAGTCGGGCCCTGGAGCCACGCCTGAGGAAATCAGTATGCCTCCAGTGGATTACTTCGCACGTTGGGGTGTACAGTAATGAGATTGCAGATACTCTTGTTATAAATTATTGTGATCTTCCGAACTCTGTTGGGCTAACTCCTTCAAAAGAAAAAAAGAAAGAAAAAAAAAAAAAAAAAAAAGAAGTTTTAGATGAAGTGTGTAGAAGTAGAAGAAAGCTGATTCAAATGAATGCGATTACAGTCTTTCTTCAACAGTTTCAGCTACTTCAATAAGAACTTCGTAACGTTCTAACACAGTGGGAAAACTTATATAGTTTGTCTAAAGTAAGAATTCCCATAGCCACTCGTCTGGACCCGTGGCGGTGACTATGGTAACGAGGCATAACTATTTCAAGCTGTTTATGACAGGTTTCGGTTCGGATGGGCGAGAGAAAGGGAATCTTTTTCTTCTGTCTATGTGTTAGCTCTATAGAGTGAAAAGAAGCTACCCTCCCTGAAATGCTATATTTTTGCTTCCATATCAGCACACATCCTCAATCATTGTGGAAGGGGGTGTTCTCACCACAGACAAACTATAGTTGTCCAGTGCCACCTGAGAATGGAGTAAGCAAGCCACAGTCACCAGTTTGTCTTCCCCAATGGAAAAGTGATAAGGGAGCAGGAATTTTTTCAGGTGCAACAACAGTGCGAGTAGTAAGACTATGTCTCGCGCGGTCTCCTAATAAAATTTCTGCAGAGAAATATTTGAGTCATTCACATTATGTTGCGTTGCCGTTGTTTTTGTGCATGTTTCAATAATTGAAACAACCACCGGTGAAGACTTAGCGACGGCTGTGACATGTAAAGGAAAAACGTATCTCACAGTAAGACAAATTGAATGTTGAAAAGTAGCTTAAATATTGTTGTCTATTTTGGAAATAAATCCTTTCTGATAATAAAACAGCCCATAAAATGAAACAGTATTTTGTTTCTTTTAATGAGCTGTAAGAAATTCTTTTTTGGTATTCGGATTTTAAAATTTTTTGCAAATGCAAACTAAAATTTTCTGGAAATGACGTAATTGAGAGTAAAAATAGATTTCTGCTTTTTTATCGTGACTTTACTGTGAATTTTTTTAGGTAAATGCTTAGTGTAAGTTTAGTTTGTTTTTCTATTGTCAGACACTTATCATTAGTTACACTACTTACACATGGATGTTTAATGATTTAGGTTTAAAAATTTTTTTTTTAGGATTCTTTGTTTCATTTGTGCTTTTAAATGCAACATTGTGTAAAGGAAACACTCTGATAGGCATCAATACGACTTCAGCGACATCTATTGAGCAGGGAGAGAAGAAAATTAACATGAGCAGCCTGCCATTCTCCAACCACTTGTCCTGCCACTCTACCGTAACTAACAGGAGAAGGCATCAAATAATGGAAAATCAGAAGAATCGGTATGCTTCAGAGTTCTACAAGTACATCACATCCTATGCTAATCGTTACAAGGGTGATACACAGCATGTTTTAAATGAAGTAAGTAGTCACGTGACTTTTTTTTAAACTGTTTGACACTGTCAATTCAATTTTCAGAAGTCCCGCAGTGGACTGATCGTAAAGACACGGTTCTTAAACTTTTTTATTATTGTTATTATTCTTAAGTTAAAAGTTAGAAATTGTTTCGGAAAAAAAGATTTGGCACTTTGTTTTGTGTTCAAATCCATAATATAATCGTCCCGCAGTGATCGTGAAGGCACGGTTCTCAGTAGAACACTGAAATCAAGCATCACTTGCTGCGGTCTGTAAGCGGGTGGGTGACCACTTTGATCAGCCTGAGTAAGGACCGAGGGTGTGCTGTATCGGTCATCGTTAAACTGTTCTATCGTAAAATTCTTGACTTCGCTCGTAGGTCGTCGAACTACTCAACCAGGGGAGCCATCCCCTCTGCAGAACATCAAAATTGCGATGGCATGTCTTCGGATCATAATCAGGGATGTTTCCCGGACCGTCACCAATACCCCATTGCGCAGCTAATAGAGACACGTAAGTAAAATACCTACCAATCTTCAGAAGTTAATAAACTATGCTTGCTATAACGGTTTAAATTGACTGTTTTTTTAAAGCTTAATATTGCGTTACAGTTTGTTTTACTTGAGTCTAGTTCATATACTCCATCCGCCGTAAGAAAACGTTTGACTCTCGAAGTATTATCTTCGACTCGGGTGTATCATTGCGTTGACGACTGGTCAATAGTGTGAAGTTTTTTTTTTAATATATCTAAATTTCCTTAAATGATTTTTTACAAAACCTTATTTTAGCAACAGAAAAAAAAAGCTCATACAATAACTTTACCTTGACTTGATCGGTGGATTGATTATTCTATAATTTAGATCGGATGACACCAGTCATTACACAGACTCCGCACCACGCTTCTCAACTGCCCTGCAGTATCTGTACTTTTCCGATTCTGAGTGGACTCCGTCCCATTAAGGATCACTGTTTTTTCTCTCCCCTGATTTGTTGTTGATCGGGATAGCTAAATAGAAGAAGAAATTGAATATAGAGTTTCAAACATTAAATCTCTCTATAAGCAGTCCAAGGAGATCACTTTCCTACTTCATCTCATATTAAAGCAAGATAAAATAAAAAGGAGTATTCTTCATCCCTAATCGAAATATTTTTTAATGATTTTCCATTGATTGACCAACATAATCTTGATGGCAGCCATTAATAATTCCACCATGAACCATTTCATTTTTGATGGATCCATTTTATTTTGAACCAACATACTCATGTTGGATCAAAATATTTCACGTCAGCACTGTGGTTGGTGCAATCCGGTGACCAGCCATCGCTTACAATAGAACTCGGTTCACCTCATTGGAAGTCGAAAGCTCTATCCCCGAGCCATTATTCAGCTCTACTATGACGCATGGAATAACGTATTACTTCTACCCTTTCGCACTTGTGAGGCGGCAAGTTTTTGGTCTCCACCATCTTCATTTGGTTTAACATTTACTTATGTCAAAATGTTTCCTTTTTAGTACGCCATTACGGATTGTACATCATTGGGACTCGAGATTCTACCCGGAACTCCGAATTTAGAAGAACTGTTGGTAAGTTTCACGCCTCTTTCAGAAGAAACTTTTTTTTCTTCTTCTATACATCTATACATCTATACATAATAATAAAAGCGGCTGTGTGTGTGTGTGCGTGTCTGTAATCACAATATATCGCCCCAGAAGCCTCGCCCAGGCTCGAAACTCGACACATAATTGTGTTTTGACATAATGAAGAAGTATTTTTTTTCTTTTTCAAAAATTTGGATTAGTTTTTTAGTTATCAGTCATTTTGTAAGAAAATCTATGCTTTTTCGTCTTCAAAGAGCCATATTCAAAAAACTATTAAAAAATGCATATCTCTTATACTCCTGAACACAGTTGTAAAGCG